GCTGGCGTATCACCCCCCCCCCACCACCCTTCAGACCCTCTCAGAGAAGCTCTCCCACTGCTCCACTTGAACTGGAACTCAAACCCACTCCTGTTTCCCTTGGAACATACCATATTTGTTTACTACTTACTGTCTTCTCCACCAGAATATTAATTCTAGATTTTTGCGTAATTTGTTCATGCTGTATTTCAAGGCCCTGGACAGTACCTGGCACATAGTAGATCAAGAAACAATGTGGGGCTGGATATGGTACAGCAGCAATGCAGGGCTCTTTAAGGTTGGCCCACATGGGAAGGCTCTGGGTTTGTGCCCAGAGACCTCCCTGAATACACTGGCACTTGTGTGCCTATGATCCCAGGCTGGTTGATGCTGGATGTGGGTCATGAAGTGAAGACCCTGGTGGGGTTACTTGTTTCTCTCTCTTCCTACTTTCTCTCTTGCTCAAGGAAGAAATACACTGTGGGTTTTTGTTTAGGTTTTTGCCATAGGGTGTGTATGTTCACTGGAGAGAAAGAGAGACAGTGAGAAGGAAAGAGCAATCACCACCTCCCCACTGCAGGGAGGGGGATGGCCATACCACAATACCTTCTCCTCTGGGGATTATAGGCATGTATACACACATGCTGAGTGATTTTCAAGTCGCCTGATGTAAGACTTGAACTGTAGTCATCCATGTGGGAGTCCAGTGCCTCACGCACCATGCCAACTGGGCTTGCCCCTGTTTAGTTTGTTTGTTTTTAAATTATTTATTACTTTATTATCAAAATCATTATTATTATTATTATTATTTAAGTTTGCTATAGGGCACGTGTGTTCACCAGAGAAAGAGTGAAAGGGTGAGAACACAAGCCACCAGATCTAGGATTTGAACTGTCGTCGGCCATGTGAGAGTCCAGCTCCTTTATCACCATGCAGCCTGCTGGCACCCCCTCCTTCATTTTTTTTATAGAAAGAAACAAAATACAACCAGCAGCTCAGAAACCCCACTTATCCTTATATTCCCTTTCAGGTACCTTGCTGGGTTCCACTATTCTGACTTAGAGAAAAATAGTTTTTCTTACTTTCATGTTCTATAAGCTATAGTACAGTAACTAGAATCAGATGATATGTATTTTTTGTGGCTTCTTTAATTCAACATTTTCTGTGAGATTTATCGATATTGATACATGTGGTTATAACTCATTTATTGTCATTGATGCTACTATTCCCCATGGCTTTTTTTTTCTTTTCCTTTTTTTGGGGGGGAGGGAAGGAGCAGGAGGCACTTGCTGACATCTGAGATATTCCAGGATTTAGAATTTTATTTTTAGTTTTTGCTACAGGGCCCGTGCACTTCCCCCCAGAGAAAGCCACAGAGAAGCAAAATAAGAAGTCACTCCTTAAGGGGGATGGTCAGACTACAATCTCTTCTCCTTCATTCTCCTCTCAGGATTTTGGACACACACATGTGCTTGGTGTGATGTTCAAGCTGCCAGGTCCAGGACTCAAACAGTAGCTGACCATATGTAAAATCTAGTGCCTTAACCATCATGCCACCTGCTGATCTGAAAAGGAACACTTTTTAATTAAAATTTTTAAAAAATTTTAATTAATTTACATTCATTCACTAAACATTGTCACAGTATACAAAATGTGATTTTCCATCCAGAATATACTGCATAGTGACTTAATCATACATGTTATCATTGATAATTTTCCATTTCTAGTGAAAAATTTTTCCACTAGAGAAATTTCTCACCCTCTGCCATTTCCCACCCGCCTCCCACAGTATCTCTGGTGTCTACAGTTGTTTTCCATTCCTTCCCCCCACACACATTTTATTGACTCACAAAATTTCTTAAATAATCTACTTTCAATAGTAAGTTCAGCTGATATATACATATCTGTGAATACATGTCTAACTTTAGGCAGGAAACTATAAAGTAGTACCTAGCTGATGCTATATAGCTTACTATGGTCATTAAATAGGTATTTTAAAATATATTTTTAATTTCAAGAAAAGCAATTTTAGCTTTAATAAATCAAAGAAATGCTAAGAGAGCTTTGCTTAAAACGTAACGCCAGGAAACAGGTTAGGATTCTGTTCAAATAGAAGGTACATGAACCTATCGGCAGCTCAAGACAGGACAAAAATCCTTAAAACTGGAAAACAAAGCCGAGAAGAAAATCAGCAATGTTTTAGTCAAAAGTCATAAAATTCTATTTCACTGGTTCAGTCTCATGTACTTAATCTACCCTCTGTTATGGTCCGATCTTCCCGATTAAATTCTGGAATATAATATTCAACTCCAGACTTTTCCCTATGATTAAGTTGGCCATTTTCTTAGTTTTTGAACTCTTATTTCTGTGTATCTGTATTTACATTTTCCTGGTATAGCACTCCCTTCAGAACTTCTTGGAGTGCTGGTCTGGTGTTGGTAAATTCTTTCAGGTTTTGTTTATCTGGGAATGTTCCTGTCTTTTCTTCCCATATGAAAGATAATCTTGACAGTACAGTATTCTTGGTTGAAATTGATTTTCCCTGAACACTTTGAATATCTTTTCCCATTCTTTCCTCACTAGCATTGTTTCTGATGAGAGGTCTGTTGTTAGACTGATGGGATATCCTTTGTAAATATCTCGATGTTTCTCTCTTGCCAATCTTAGTATCTTGTCTTTGTCTATGGATTTGGTCAATCTGGCTATAATGTGTCTTGGAGAAGATTTTCTTGGGTTGATTCTATTTGGGGTCCTCTGTTTTTCTTGGGACTGGATATTTGAATGCCTCTCTAGGTTTGGAAAGTTTTCCTCCAGGATTTCATGGAATAGATTTTCAATGCCATTATGAGTTTCTTCACCTTCTGGGATACCAATTATCTGGATGTTTGGACATTTGATGGTATCTAGTATTTCTTGTATATTATTCTCATTTTGGGGGGGGGGCAATTTTCTGTCTTT